GACATACTACGCCCAAACTCTTTGCTACTTGGCCTTTTCTCTAATTTCTACTAAAATATTTCTCTTCAGCATGGCCTTTACTATCCATATTTTCTACCAGAATTTGGATCACAACCACTTAGCCAATCTCTAAAAATTTCCAAATTTTCCCCCCTTTTTCATCTTCTGACCCCTCATCAGAATTGAACTCCACACACTTCTCAAGGCAGTGCAGACATTTTGAGCTTGCTGCCCCAAGTTCTTCCAGCCTCTGCCCACAACCCAGGACCAGTCATGTCACATTTTCAGATATTATTGTCAGCAGCCCCACTCCTGGCACCAATTTTCCTATCTTAGTCTGTTTTCTGTTGGGATAAGAGAGTTAAACAGACTGGGTAATTGATAAAGAATAAATTTTATTCAGCTCATGGCCCTGAAGGTCCTTTGGGAAGTCCAAGTTTGAGAGGTCACATTTAGCAAGGCTTTCTTGCTGATGAGAACTCTATACAGAATCCTAAGGTGCCACAGTATATCACATGGCAAGTGAGGTACACACAAAACAGAGTCAAACCGGCTTTGATAAGAGACCCACCCTTCAAAGAATCCAGTGACCCATTCACCCATTAATTGATTAATCCTTTCATCAGGGCAGGGCCCTCGTGACCTACTCACTTCTTCAAGGTCCCACCTGGGTCCACCTCTTCATATCGCACAGTAGAAATTCAATTTCAACAACACTTTTGATGGGGACACTGATGCCACAGAAATTGTGAAAGAAGTTACAACATTTGAAGCACAACATGAAAGCCTATTTACTAATGAAACTCAACATATCACTAGACTGCATGTGTTGCTTTAAACAGTATACATGTGTTTTTCTATGGGAAGTTTTAAGAGAAAGACACATGAACTTCTGGAGATAATGCAGACAAATGTAAGATGCTCAGAGAATCATTAAAATTTGAGATATCCTTTCCTTCCTCTTTTTAAATTTAACCACAACATACCATAAATGGTGTCATAAAAAGAGTATTCAATAATTTCCAGTCACTACTTATATCTTCTGACAAAAGTATAATTATACTAGACAGAAAAGTAAAAATCATCCATCAGAAATATGTACTACAATTCCACTAAGTGCATGGTACCATTACCAAGCACGACTAAGGATCCAGAAACAATGGAAAGTCACCCATCCTCAAGTGGACCGAGGTTAGGTGGGAAAGAGAAGAACGGAAGACAGTCAAATTGCAGTGTTATAAAGATGGTAAAGGCTTAGAGGGAAGCAACTGACTAACTGCTCCTTTGTTTGCCTTAAAAAATACAAAAAACTTTCTAAATCAAGAAGCCCCTTGGGGACTAGGGAGGGAGGAGGGGGAAAGGGAGGAAGAAAAAGAAAATCAGAAAAGAAGGAAAAAAATGAAAACAAAGCTTTTGTAAATAAGGAGGGGAAGAAGGGCTGAAGGGAGGGGAGGGGGATGGGGAAAAAAGAATCAAGTTACATCATGGACAGATACAAATTCTCTATGATAAATGTGATCATTATGTAACCCTAAAATGTACCATGAACTTAATTAATTAAAAAAAAGAAATCCCCGAGGGATCATAAGTGCTATTAAAAGCAAGCAAGGAGAGGAGATAAAAGGAAGGAGGTAATGAGGGAAGAAGAGAAAGTTTGCTTAAAAAATGTATTTTCTTCTTAAAATATTTAATCATCAAGAAAATATGAGTTATTATTATTACTTCCAAATCAAAGATTATTCAAAGAGGTTGATTAATACTGTCGTGACATGCAAAAATACCTCACAAATCATTCAACAAGATTTTACATGCTTTTCATTTCACCATTCAAAAATAAGAATTAAGAGAAATGTATTAGTATTTAGTCAAAATCCAAATTACTGCTTGTCATACTTTGAAGAAAATATTCAACTATAAATTATCAGATCTTATAAAAAATAAAATAGTCAAAATATTCCTACAAACAAGAAACCTCTTTTACTTTTGGCCAGTTTTTATGCTACCAGTGTTTAACCAGATTATTTTCAAACTTAAACCCTATAATCTTACACTGAAAGTTTCATACCTATTAGCAATGCCATTATGATCTCAAATTAATCTTAAGCAGATGTTCATGAGCTTCACAAAAACCAACTCAGTCATGGGGCTGGTTGCAGACACCATTACGCTAATTGATCTGCAGAAGGCTCTGTAATGAAGAGAACTCAGAGATGAGCTGATAGGAAGATTTTCCTGGGTTCTGCTACAAGCAGCTTTACATTTGCCTAATTTATAAAATCACAAACGGGTCGTTGAACGTGTTTTGACTTGTAAAGTGGATTTTTTTCATATGATCACCAACATTTAAACTTCAAGAGATTTTTATATAAGTTCTGGATTTTCTACTTCTCTTTAAAAATCAATTAATTCAGAAACGATGAGCCCACCTGCTCCTCCCTTCCCCAAATCCCAGTCTCTGTTGCCTTTTCTTCCTTAATGAGCACGCATTTTTCAGTTTATTGTCGTCCTCACCCAGCCTGCTTCTCTTACTTATTCCAGAGACCCCATGGGCATTTGAAACTTCTATCCCATTTAATCTAAAATTCACTACCTGGATTTCAGGTGTCTTAACAATCCATTGAAAGTCCAACAGAAATAGTGTGTCTGTGAAAATTCCAAAAAGTGACTGCTTCCCATTTCCTCAAAAAATCCTTTCAACATGACTTACATTTTTATTTTGCACACGTAATAAGCAGAGAGATAAAGACAGAATCAGAATGTCAAAATCATAGGAAAAACGTTGAGTTTATACCAACAGTTACCAAGAAAAGAATACTTGAAAGTAAGGAGAAATCAGAACTGCTCTAATGTTACAGAGTTCCTTAGTTGAGGGACTAACTGATGTCAACCCCACTGCTACTAACTTGTGTCTCACAGCTGGCAGAAATAGGCTTTTGCCTCCTTTCCCCTTAAACAAGAAAAACAATAACATCAACAAGTGATTCAGCATCAGCTATGCAAAAGGCTCTATGCAACATGCTTTAAAGATGCCTATTCGTAAACCTATGATGGAACCCTAGCTCCAGCATCTGAATTTCTTTTTGGTTCCAATCAAGAGATTTTGCCTGGTTTTCAGCAATGTCCTTGCATAACAAATGTTTTAATAATTTTTTTTACCTCATTTTAGTGTTGTCAAATGTGTTCATAACAGACTCCCCACCACACCAGGGAAATGATTTCATGAAAAATCAAATTGGAGATAAGTTTTTCTATGCTAAGACTCCCCAGAGTTTTTACTGTGTCCCTTACTTCATCTGCACTACTGTAACAAAAGTACTATAGACTGAGTGGTTTATAAATAAGAATCATTACACGTATTCGTCAAAGGGCTTCAGTGAATACAGAAGACTGGCCGGCCAACCAACAACACTAAGGGTAAGCAGGAGGAGCAAGTATGCACTGCATTTATGTGAGGGCAAAGAAGGGCTCAGTCAAGGACACTGGATGGTAAAGGATGAGTTAGGGAGCCACTGTAAAGCAGAAAAGGACAAAACAAGCAAGGAATTCCAGAAAGCCATGGAAAACTTTGAGGGAACATGGCAGAGTCCGGCTAATCTTAGCAGTTCATACAATGACAAGAGTTAAACAAACTGAAAGAGTAAATAAGATCCAAAAGGCACAACAGATATAGTGAAAGGGAAAGAAACTGCTCAAAAGGAAAGAAGAACCGGGACAGGGGAAAAGAGAAAAGAACGAAGGGGAAAAGAAATATGTATATATAT